TTCTTCTTCTTCTTCTTTTTTTTTTTCGCCCAGGGTATTGCATGAGTTTCTCCTGTTCTAGTCAGAGTTCAGCCACTGTTTCTGTACGTTCAGGCTCTGTGTTGCTCCACTGAAGTTCAGTCGGCCGTGAAAAAGACAAAATCTCCCCGGAAAGAATGACTGGATCCAAATAGGACAAATGTTGCTGTAATTTGTTGTCTTGTTAACAGCAGACAGAGGATGTAAAGACAAACTTGTTGCTCACGTCACTGAAGTTCACACCATAAGATCCATGAACATGTATTCACTGGACGCATCATTAAAATGCTGTGGTACATAAGGGCAACTGCAGAAGGTCGGGGTGTGAAAACCCTGCCAATGTTTCTTTAGCAAAACACTTGATGTGAACAACGTGCTGTGTCCTGAGGGCCTGCACTAATGAGCCCACTTTATATGTTCATACCAGGAAAAAAAAAACAAAAACTCCACTTTGTATCTCCTCCACTTCATCATGTTTATGTAATGACTCTCTGTGTTCACAGCCCCCCCACTGTCAGAAGTCACCTCGTCCCCTCCGTCTCAGAGAACCACCAGCACCACCACCACAACAACCACAGCGCACCGGGGCGTGGCCAACACCACTGCCACAACAGGGCTCAGAGAGGGCAGCAGGGGAGCTCCTGGAGCGCCTCCCCTGACCCCACACACCACTTCCCCTCCACCTCTGGAGTCCTTCCCTTTACCTGAGCGTTACTGTGAAGCAGCAGAGAGGAGAGACATCATGTGGCCTCAGACCCAGCGGGGCATGTTGGTGGAGAGACCTTGTCCTAAGGGAACACGAGGTAAACAAACCCAGCGCTCCTCCCCTCAGGGCTGTCTACTTACTTACTGTTTTTATATTATTCAGATTTACCTGAAGAGTTTGTTTTACCTGTATCAAACACTGGGACACAGCTGTTTTTTTATTTAGAGGACACTGTGGTAGCTGTGTTGGTGGAAATGGTTTCACTGCAGTTGAAAACACGTTCAGTCTGAAGCGGCTGAGCTGTGGAAGCCGAGGCCCAGCTGTTTCACTCAGCTCTCATGGAGACATGAATCTCTCATTTGATTGTGTGTGAAATAAGGTCTAATTACTGTGTGTGTGGGGGGGGGGGACACAGGCGGCTGATCTTCATTCTGTCTCTTCACTGTTGCGTCATTTTAGTTTTTTTTTTCTGTTGACATTTTTGTCTTCTCCGTTTGCTCATCTCGCTCCCTCTGCGACCCTGTCACCCTGTTTTCATGTCAAGCAGGTTTAATTGCGCATTTGTATGCCAATCCTTCCCATAATCCTTCCGCTGTAGGCCCCCTGGAGCTGGCCAACGCGCTGGCGGCCTGCTGTCTGTCGACCAGGCTCCC